ACGAAGATCCCCTAGGGGTTTCCTAAAGGTTGGTCACACAATGACAACCAGAAACACCTTCGATTATCGGGGAATAAAAAACAAACTCAGAAAGACGAAAAGAAGGGAGATACAAAGACTCACCAAAATGCGAACGAAGGTTTCTGAAGGGCTCGGAGTGGTTCCTCTCTCTAGAAGGTTCAGAAGCAAGAGGGTGTTTGCTGGACTAAACTCCGATGACGACTGACTGGTAGACGACATGACTAAAGGGGGTCTCCGGCGAAGTTTTCAAGCGAAAGCTCTCTAAGTTCGAAATAGCAAAAGTGTGGGAAAGAGAGAGAGAGCCCATTTATATAGTTCTCATCCCCATCATTAGGCACGAAAGCACGAAAAGACACATTTAATGCGCATGACCTCCTAAACAGCGAAAAACGACTGGAAGTAATGATGGAGTGGTTGGGGCAGTTACAGAACCCTTCGCCTCCTTACAACGCGTGTCCTCGGCGTCAGAAGATCGAAGGCTGGGGGGCAGTTGATGCGACATTTTCAGGCACTCTCAGATGATGACACGTATACTCAGCGTCAATGGAGACATCTGCTCTAATATTGACACGTCTTCATGGTTTTTAACCCCCTGCCCTGAGGATACTATTTACAGGGATCAGAGATCCCCAAACCACCATGGAGTGACACGTAGTCCTCGACAGTTTGGGGTACATTGATCCCAAATCATGCTAGTCCCTCAGCACCGAGGGGTATCTATCGCGTCCGTATTTCTGCACCTGCAGGGGATACTGATGGACAGATCACTAGTCTAGACAATGCTAGACTAGCCATTATGATCTCGTCTTACTCAAATGGTGTCAGGAGGCACAAGAAAGCAGAAGACTCAACCAAAGGAGAATGGGCACCTGACGTATTATGTCAGATCAGAGACAAAGAGACCAGAATACCCTTACTGACATATAACTTGAGAAAGCAAGTATTTAATGCACCTTTCCCTTGATGAGACAACATTTAATGCATGAGGGCTCGGAAGTGAAAGGTAATAAATGTCCCAAAGCCTGGACATTTAATACACTTTCTCTGAGAGAAGATCATTAAACGTTCGACAGACAGAGGAGAAAACATTAGTTGCTCGGGGCCCCGAGCAGTAAAGAATAAGATCATTACTCATAGGAATTAGTGTGTACGCTGCCCATTCCCAATGATTACCTACTAACTACGCTGTCAGCAATGATGAGTTTTTAAGGTATAAATAGTCTTCACAAACATGGAAAAGGGGTACGCAACTAACCCTCTCTCAACCATCGTACAATGTTCTCTTCTTTCCCTCTCTAAAAGAACTGACTTAATCGTCGGAGGAGATACGCCGAAAAATACTCCGGCGCCCTTCTAACCTGTTTTCTTTTGTTCTAGAAATCTCTTTCAGTTTTTCAAGATCACTCAGGCGACTCGTATCAACGGTTGATTAACCACATTCGACCCTCACAACCTGTTTAACTAGCAAGACCAACCACCCAATTTCGGACACGTGTTCACCACAGAAGAGATTTGTTCTAGTGTTTATATTGTACAGAATCTTGCACTCACAAAAGCCAACCAAACTGAAGAAAGAACTAAAAACTCAGAAGAGGAAGTATAATCCTACCAACATCTTGAAGCAAATATGTTTAACAAATGTACCTAGTATTTGGTTTTTATACTATGATAGTACTCCAAACTAAGAAAGAACGTGAAAAAATTAATGATGTTTTTTTATATTTTCAAAAGTTTCTACATGCAATTCTAATTATAAGAGAATGATTAAAATCTACAACGATTTTTCGCTTGTTGGCCTAATGTTCCAAACCATTTGCAACACTACACACACTATCCCCTTTCAAACTGATCCTCTGGTCTTTGATCATTAATTTGTCAAGCTAATAATATTGTGGGATATATTCTTCATCCTCAAATTGTATGTTGATTAAAAAATAACATTTTATTTCTTCATAGTCAATGTTGAGAATGCAAATACATTTCTACTTAAAAAGGAAACAAAATTGTTATTTGTGTAGAGCTGATGTACTAATGAGTTGAGTTAGGAGTGGAGCCAAAAAATTATTTGGGGGTAGGCATTGGACATTGTAATAACTTTAATTTTTTTATCTTCTATCGATAAAAATTGAATAATATATTTATATTTAATTACTTCTTATTTAATACATAAAAATTTATTAAACCCAAAAGACCAAAAATTGGGAAGCATAATATATATAAATATGACCAAAAAAAAGACTTACTATATTTTTTTTACAAAACGTAAGTATTAACACTATTTAGAATTGATCTTAATAAATTTTCATACTTTAAAAGTGTTGCATAAGAGTATTTTTAAACCTGACTCAAATTTAAACTTAAATTTAAATTTGAGTCTAAATGGTTTGAAAAACTTCATTAACTTTGGACTCAAACCTATACCAAATCAATAAAAAACTTATCCTGAACCCAAATTAAAAGAGACTCAAATTCTATACCAAATTTTCAATGATAACTTTTTATTTTATTCAAAGCCAAAAGATTTGTTCAATGACTTATTCTCTGTTTCTATTTCTTTTTATTCTCAGGTGATGTTGTATCCATATTTAATTTTTTTTCAAATTACCCATTTATGGAGAGTTGAAAATTTCATTGATTTTATCAAATTTCATGATTTGAATGATATAAAAACTGAGTTTTGAGATAATAAAGGAATTTTTTTTAAACATTTGAGTAGATATTTGAGTTTGTCCATTGGAATACTCTATGCGAAATCAAGTTTTTTACCCAAATTTGAATTATGCTTGGAGATGCTCTAATAACTTTTTTATTCTCTATGTATAGACAATCATGATATCAATTAGCTCACTCATTCAATTAAACTCTCTAATGTCTGTCATAATTAATAACATAAATATCAAAATTACAAGTAAATAAATGGGTATATCATGTCTTTTCTAGTCTTGATCATTTTCCTGAACAAGATCACCAAGTCCTACTAGATTCAAAAGTTCAATATTAGATCAAAAAGTGTCATGAATTCCCTAATATCATAGAGTTGTCATCAATTGTTCAAATAAAGATAAATCTCATCTCCTTGGATCATATGACAATCACTTTGTGCACTCGTTGGAGGTCACACAGTTGTCAATCGTTTTTCTTCCTTTCTCAGTTTCTCTCTTTCTCTATCTTTGTATCTCTTTGTCATATGTTTCGATCTTATTTATGTAAGGTTATTAGACAAACATATTTATATCAAGTTTTTTCCTAACTCTAAATAATATTTTTAATTTGTGACTTTGATTCAGTATCTACTTACAAAAGGATTTTTTTTTATTATTATTGCACAGAGACCCTAATTTTATATGATAATTATTCTAATATATATTCAAAATTTATCAAGACGGGTGCATAAGTATATCTCCAATATTTATTTTCTAATATTTATTTACATTTAAAATTTTAACCATAATTAAAAAAAAAACCACACTGGGACACCCTACACCACAAGAAATAGGATTTTTAATGGCAAGATTGTAGCTTTTAAAAATTTAACCGCAACAATTTTTGTGGTTAAATGTCTAATTTCTTTTAGTGCTAGTTCTAATTAGTCTATCTAATGAGAGAAAATAAATAATTTAAATAATGCTTTTCCTCCACTTTTTAATAATGCACCGTTTAGTATGATGAAAAAGTAGGAGCATGAAAAGTTGGAAGGATGGAAAGTTGGAGAGATAAATAAAACATCAAGTTTTGTAAGGAATGAAAGTAAGAAGGATGGAAAAGTGGATGAATTAACTTTCCTTCCAACTCATCAAAATCAATCCTTCCAAAATCGAAAGGAAAGTGGATGAAAAATTAATTATTTGTGTTAAGATGTATCTTATTTGTCTATATAGCTTATGTATACATTAATTTCATATAAAAATATAATGATAAAATATGTATATATATTTTAACAAATTTTAAAAATTAATTTAAAAAAAATTTAAAATTAAAAATTAAAAATAAAAAAATAAAAAATTTAAGTTAAAAAAAATATTTTTTCCATCTTAACAAAGGTAAAAATTTTCTACTCAACGCGATAACACGATTCGAATTCGATACGAAAATAAATAGGTCAACTCGCAACTCAACACGACACAATTAGTTAAATGAGTTAAGTTAGATTAACTAATATTCGACACAAACTTGTAATAACTCAACACAAATCTGACACAATACGACTCGACTCTATTGTCATCCCTAATCTTAGCCAGCACCAAAAAAAATAAATAGTCATTTTTATTTTCTATCCATCCAATCAAACATAAATGAAAGAAAGTGTATCCTTCTTACTTTCCATCCTTGAAAGATAAAAAATGTATCTCTCTTACTTTCCCTCATTCATACTTTCTATCATCCCTACTAAACGGAGCATAATAGTAAAATTTATCAAATAAAATTCTTTTCATACTTATTTATGTTATTTTATTATTTTTAAAAGTAAAACTATAAGTCAAATGAAACTAAAGTTCGTAGTGTGGATAAAATATAGCTAATATTACCGTTAGTAACTTGAACTCTTTCACTCATAAACATATAATAACAATTTTTATATATTTTGATTCAATAATATAAAATTTATCTCAAATTTATTTTCCTATTCAAATATATCAGTATTTTTAAACGGTCCTCAATATTAGATAATTCAATTTATAAACTCTCCAATATCAAATAATCTAATTAATCAACACATTCCTCTCTCTCCCTTCCTTACTTTTCTCTCTTTTTTTTCTGTTTTCTTTAATTTTATAATTTTTACTATTACATAGCACAAAATATTATAAAAGATATGGTATTAAAGTTGGTACTATGGCCCATTTCCAAAAGTAAAATCCAATGAGGTCCGAAGTGCGAACCCGAGCATACACGGGCGACTGGAAGGTTTCAGAGAGAGAGAGAGAGAGAGAGTGGTGGCACACGTAGGAATCACCTCCTTATCATCCTCCATTCCTTGTATGTCTCGTCCTCGTCGATTCTCCTTCACAAAACCCAAACATGAAATAGATGTACGCTTCTTCTTTCTTGCAAGTATTCTTTGTTTGTTATTTGGAATTTAGTGCAATTTTCCTTTTCCAGTGAATGTTGTTTGATAATTTGAACAGTGATGGAGTCGAATTAACTGTTAGTATGTTCTTGACAGCTTCTTTCGCGGTCTACTTGTATCATAAAGTTTCTCTTATTGGTCACTCTCCCTGTCTCTCCTTGTGTAGATTATTCCCCATTCAAATTGGCTGATGGGTATATATATATATTGTACATCAATTACAAAACTTTCAATTCATGAATGCTGGGGATGAACCATCCCTGGACTATATTCTCATTATTTTATTTGTTGACTTCGATAACCAAATTTCAGTAGTTTTTCACAAAAAAAAAAAAAATAATAATAATTGTAGAAGGGCTATATGCGTGTGATTGTTTTATAAGTATCTCTTGTGATAATCTTCTCGATAAAGTTTTTTGATAATTTACATTTTGATGAAGGTCTAGGCTGAAAGGGGGTTGGGGATGGGAATTTGAATGATGTGTATATCTTTATTTAGCAGATCATAACACTTTAGTATGTTGATTTTGGAGTTGCACGGCTACACACAGGAAGTTTACATTATATGGGTTTTTTATTGAATAGTTTTTATTTTTTCATGATGTTATGGTTTTATAACAGGGGCTACGATGCATGATGATCCAATCCGTGAATGGGTTCTATCAGAAGGAAAGGCAACACAGATTACAAGGATTTGTTCCATTGGTGGTGGATGCATCAATCTTGCCCATCGTTATGACACTGATGCTGGGTCCTTTTTTGTTAAAACAAATAGGTGTGGTGTTCTTCGATGGTTGGATGATTTAATTTGGTGCTTGGGTAGACAAACAATTGCTGAGTTACTTCTGAATATAGTCTGATTTGTTGTTTTATTTGCTTTTCACCCCTAGTATTACATATAGTATAATGTCCAAGTTGTGAACGATCTTTCTTATAGGATGACTTGTTGATGGGGAATAATAAAATGTCATATAAAATAATTACTGTTATGATGCTTGCTTGATCTGATGCTGTTGAAACTGGAACAGGAGTATTGGACCATCAATGTTTGAGGGAGAGGCTTTGGGTTTAGATGCAATGTACGAAACTGGATCGATTCGTGTGTCAAAACCATTGAGCAGAGAAATTCATATCACCTTGTAGGTCTACCTATGCAGGTGCTTAACTATAAAACCTTACAATTTCTTCTATTCACAATAGGTTGGAGCCCTGCCAACAGGTGGTTCATATGGCATTATGGCAAAGCAAGAGCTCGTTTCTTCGGTGAATGGTCATGAGTTGTCGGAAGTGTCTAATATGTGAGGCTGGGTCGGTTTTTCCGTCGTACAACTTGAAGTTCGGAATGGTGAACTTGCTCGGGATCCTTGCCTTTTCGACCCATGCAGTAAATGGGGATAACTCCAATCCATCTCCGTACTCTCCTATTGCTCTTCTGGCTTGATCCCTAGCCGACCTCTACTCAGGTCTCTTCAAACGATTGTTGAGCTCTTCGTTGATATACTGCTTCCAAGTGTCCTCCTCTTAGATCTGAGGTTTCTTCTGTCGGTACACTTCTTCATCAGCAATCCTAATTTTGCTAGGCTTCCTTCTTGGGCTTTGATGCCGATCCTCTCTCGCCCGCTTTTCCCTTCTGGTTATCTTTTTCAACTTGGCTCTTAATTCTTCGTTTTCTTTGATCAGATCTTTCTCCCTGGCGTAGGATTTCTTGAACAACTTATCATGGGCATCAAGTCGATCCTATAAGGACTGGACCAACTTTGCCAAGGAGTGTTTGTCCTCCTCGGTACGGAGGGATTTACCATGATCCTCGATTTGGTGGTTCTGATTTTTTGACGGCTTGAAACTCGCAGAGGATATTTCGTCATCCTCGTGGATTCTGGAGGGACTTCTGACTGCATGTAACATTGCGTTGCTATTAGAAGGAAGAGGCGCAGGATCAGAATTTTCCAAGGCAAAACTACATACGGGTGATCCAAATGCGCTCCTTAGTCTTAACATCGTAACTTTTTGTTCCGAAAGTTGAGAATTGATTTCCCACAGACGGCGCCAAAAATGTAGAGGCAAAAAATCGGAGATACCTCTAATGGTGAATTTGCAATGTGATTCTGAAAAAGAATATTGAACAATCTCCAAATCTCTTTTCTGTAAAAATGAACAAACTACCCAAGATCAAAGTGCTTCGATTGAAGGCACTCTGATGCGTAAGTCAGTAATGGAACAGAGAGAATTGCACCAAGATAAGGAGAATTCAGTGTACCTTTCACCTTGGTCTCTTCTGCTTTTTTTTTTTATGTCATTTTCCCCTTACGGTTTCCACGATTTAAGATTCAAGGTGGCACACCTTCCTTTAATTCAATAGTTGAGTTTGGGAAGTAACTGATACTTCTCCAACAATTTCTCTTGATATCTTCAATCTTCTTGATTTCGTTTATCTGATTGCCTAGATTTTAGGCGAATATTTAACTTTCATTTTATCGTTTTGAACTGCTCGGGCATTTCGAATGGCGAGCTCAATTAACTTTTGTCGAACTGTTTGGAAACTTAGCTTGACACAAACCGTGCATTCTGGAGATCTGGGCTTGGTACAAGCCGAGCACTTTCCTTGCATAGCTGAAGAGATTCATGAGCCCGATAAATTGAGCAGACCTCTTTTCTTTGTTTGTTGAATTCACTGATCAGTTCGGGTCAGATCATAAGATCAGGTGGATGACTTCTTCGTCATATAATCCATCTTGTCAATCTCACGTGAGCTCACTTAATGTTTAAACACGTGTAATTCTGAGGGCTAGCCCCTTCAGCCAAGTATGTGTATGTGTGTGTCTTTTGTAAACTTACTTCATTGCTTTGCTGAAGTTAAAAAAGATGTTCATTGTGGTAGTCTATCCTCATTTGATCAACACGAGCTTCCGAGAGAGTTAAGCTAGAGTTATCTTTTTCATCAAAACCTGTGAAACAAGGGGGAGGTTTGTTTCTCAAATTGAACATATAATAATCAAACTTAAATTTTTTATTTTGCTTTTAAATGACAAAATTGGCATGAAATGCTGCTAAAAAGTTCGTTATTACCATTCTCGGTGATGTAAATAGGTGGAAGAGTATCATACTTATTGTACGTCTTCTTTATATAGAGAAGAAGCTAAGAAATTCCTACAGGATAAACATTGAGCCAATCTGAACCACCCTGCAATGTTAAAGGATGAAAAACTATGAGAACCAAAACATATAACAATGTAATACAAGAATATTTCACCTTCTTTTTTGTTTAAGATTTACAATACCGAGAATTATGTGCATTGAATTTGTTGCTCTTTATGTTCTCGAGAAAAAGTTAAAATGTTAAGGCCTTACCTTTGGACCAATGGGTATACCATTATGCTCCGCTAGCAAAAAAGAGAAATTCATAATCAATTCAATTCAGTATCCGAATTACAAAAAGAAACTTGTAATTGATGAGAAGTAAAATAAATTTTCAACTTACCTTTAAAGTCAATTTGAGGATTTTTGGTCTAATGATACTCCTTATATAGTAAAAGTTTAAAAAAAAAAAAAATCTGTGGACTAACTATAAGTTGTCTTATCAGTATTAGGTGCAACATTGAATGCCTAAGTAGCAGTATAGTAGTTCAATCCTAGAAACCATAAGGTCCCTTTACCAACTTGGACTGGTCTGGTGAAAACCTCGGAAGACGAGAACCAACTAGGTTCTTCATGGTTTCTGGATAATCACCTGTTGTTAGTGACTCCATAAACCTAAAATACAAATGAAAGAACAAAAACCAAGTGTTACATATCTCTCAAAACGATCTATTCATAGTCGGGAAGTCTTGTGCACTACTTATATACGATTTTTCTTTCTTTGATGGATTAAGATAGACACAACGTATATAACCACGAGGAATTGAGGCCACCCATGTCATAGATCGATGGATTATAATTAATTAAAACACGTACGCACTTACCATCCAAACTTAAAATCTTGGGCTCGGAATGCAGCTGCAACATCCTTATCGTTGTCTTTATCAAGAGGCCCCCACCATTGTGACACATCTTGATAAATCATGCATGGGGGTTTTAAGAAAACTAATTGTACTCAGAATGATTTTACCTACACTCCCCCTAGATTAAATGATCTAGGCTAAGATTTTCTTATATGATATTTAGTTTAGGAGCGTCATAAAGATTAATCAAAAAAGTTTAAGGTATGATGCTTAAATAAGAACCCGAAATTTGGTCTTATATAATGTGACAACTGCTGCGTGAGCAAGGAGTTGGTAGTGTGTCACCTAATATGGCTCCGTGCCTGGATCGCCATCGTTGCAAGTTTGCTCATGATCATGCCTTGGAGAACAACGAGAGGAGGGAAAATGAAGACCTTTAATATGCTCAGGTTCAGTAGCGCTCCGCCCGGGTGGAATTTGCCAGTTACATACCCGCCAACACTGTAATTATATGGCTCGGTCAACGTTATCCAATTTTTGATGCGATCACCAAATTCCCAAAAGCAAAGTTGCACATACTCGCAAAAATCAGGCCTGGTTAAGTAAATTAGTGTAATTTCAATTAAATCGTAGTTATAAATCTTATTTCTCTAAGTAAAACAAACGACATAAATTAGAATGGAACATAATCCCTACGATAGATCGATACTATTTGCAGCCATTGATTATAATAGAATGGTGTTGGCATAGGTGGAGCTACACAGGGGCGAGGTGCCCACCCTCAATTTTTTAAAAAATATTGTATACATATACTTATATTTATATTTTTTTGTTCTAAAAATTATACATATATTTTATACTTGTGCCTACCCTATAAATTTTTTATTTTAATTGTTTCATTTTTTATTGTATTAAGGCTTTTTCCAGATGTCCTTATTTTTATTTTTTATGAATTTTTGCAAATAAAAGTTCTTGCAACTGACATTCATTTGACTTTTATTTTTTCTATGAGAAATCATCTATATTTCTATTTGAGCGTTGATTATAGTCTTTATTATGTGACAATTGATTATGTTTAGCACTTAAATTTTAGTTTAGTAATTTTATTATGCTAATATCTTAATGATAATTTTTGAAACATCATTTTTAATGAATTGTTAGTGAATAATTGATATTTTTAAATTACAAAAATGATAATTAGTTCTACTTTTTTACAATTGTGATAATTAGTCATTTTTTTTGTATATTCATTTTTTTTTACTTTTTTTACGTTAAAAAGACTTCATGTATCAAATATGATAGAATAAATATAAATTTATTATATAGTGTGATTGGTTAAGAGAAAATAAAATAGAGTATTTTGTTTAAAATGTTCATTTTAAACAAAATTCCTAACTCTGCCTTGGTTGTTAGCCATTAAATTAGCTACAGCCAAAAGAAAATTATAAAAATATGAAAATTATAAATGTGCATAGAGCCCTTTGTAACTCTCTTCCACTTTGATCTTCCCCAAGCCTTGGAAGATGAGTACGGTGGCTTTTTAAGCCCTAACATTGTGTAAGTCAATTTAATTTATCTAATAACAATATCCACATGTAAATAGTGAAAGACATGAAAGGGGGTGGGTGAGTAAATAGTGATTAAGATGGTGATAGTGCTAGATTAATAATTTTGTCTCCTAATATGTATAAGATGGACAAATGAAATACATTTTTTTTTAACCTAATTGTCTTTCGTATTTTGTAGTAATTGGACGATAATAAAATGTGATCATAATTATTTTCACTATATTTACAAATAATGGAAGGGACTGTGGATTCAAGCTATTATGGTTCCTCTCATATATATATATATATATATATCTATATATATTGTATGCTATATTTATGTACCATGTAATATGGTGTAATTTCAATCATTTTAGGTTCTTGGAGATTAGAAAACGAACTATCTTAATTTCAATTTTTATGGATATTATGTGTTTTCAAGTGAACATGAGTGTACAAGCAAAAAGTAGTAAGCAGAATAGATGTATGGCTGCACATTCTTGCATATATATGTTATAACACAGCTCAAGAGAGGTATTCAGTCTTAAACCATGCTTGTGCTCCTTTTCTTCTTCCTTTTTTCTTTTTTTTTTTCTGGACAACATTGCTCCAACTCATGCTTATATAGTTCATGTATTCAACACTGCTCTCTCCCCTC